TTTTTTTTTTTTTTTTTTTTTTTTTTTTTTTTTTTTTTTTTTTTTTCATTTCCATTTTTTTTGTGTCCCCTCTAGTTCCAAGATTGATGCTTGCTGGGGTAGAAGCCATTATTATTATTTATTTATTTTCAGTTATTTTTATTGTTATACGGAACTTATACCCCAGGATGAGACTCCGGGACCGTCCAGATGTTTTATTTGTTTGCTTTTTGAAGGGTGACAGTCTTGAGTTTTTTTTAATTATTTTTTTTTCAATTAAAATGTTTGTTAGTGGCAGCGAGACTGTGGATGATGGTGGGATGAGGGACTCTTGGGGGCTCATCAGTTTCCTCTTGAAATAGGGTCTCGTTCGACACCACTTGGGAATTGCTATTTTTCAAGGAAGCATCGTTCGACCCCGCCCTAATGACGTACCCTTGAAATCGGTAATTGTTTCCACATCCCCGCGGCCAAGTGTCCGCCCTTGAAACGAAAGTGCGGCCCAGGCAAATCGACCAAAATCGAAAGGGAGCCTCCGGAGGTCACTTGGGGCACAAGGGTTTCACCCTTCAAAACGAGTAATATACGGACCTTTTTCTTGCTTTCTTTTTTTTTCCACCAATCACCACTGTTCGTGGTGCAATGACGTCAGCACTTCAGTTTCAAGGACGGCCGTCTCAAGGGTTTCGTCAAGGGGCTGTGGAACGAAAAAACAAGTTAGGGGAAATTAATCACCTTCCGTGAGTTAGGGTGCCCTTGAAACTCAAGTATTTTCAATATTTTTTTTTCAATTAAAATGTTTGTTAGTGGCAGCGAGACTGTGGATGATGGTGGGACGAGGGACTGTTGGGGGCTCATCAGTTTCCTCTTGAAATAGAGTGGGATTGAAATGCGTATTTTCTAGTTACTACTTCGGTGATCTCTGATGACCCTTAAAGTTTGTCTTTAATGGCATGTCATTGAGTAATTAGTGAGCCTCATCACACATGACCACCTGTCCGATCCCTAGACGTCTTGGCGTCTGCGTCGGACATCTGGTAGCCTAAGGGGAGTTGTCCAGGATCTCGCACAAATCATTTTTTGAGAATTTCAAATCCAAAAAAAAAAAAAGAAGAAGAACAAAAAAGGTTGCAGAACCCATCAAAAAGAATTCAGCTCAATGCATTTGGAAGTTGGAACCAAAAAATAAAACAGGAAATGGGAAAACAGGATGGGGGAGGGGGGGTTGGGGTGGGTGGAGGGTCCGCTGCTGCAGCAGGTGAAGCATCTGCTTCACATGGCAGCGCCTGCTGCGGTAGATGCAGCAACTGCTGCAGTGGGTGCAGCAGGTGCAGCACCCGCTCTGTGTGCCCCATCTGCAGCAGCTGCGTCTCCGGCAGCTGGGTCATCTGCAGCGTCTGCTGCAGCCGATGCTGCAGATGCTGCACATCCTGCTGCTGGTGACACACCTGCTGCTAAAGCCGCTGCTGTAGTTGCTTCATCTACTGCTGCAGCAGGTGCTGCACGTGCAGCAGATGCTGCTGCATCTGCAGTAGATGTGGCTTGTCCGTCCCTTCGGGTTTAAGAATTTGGATTTTGGATTGAGGGTTTAGGGTTTAGGGTTTAGGATTGAAGAAAATATGTTGGAAAAATTGAAGCACTAATTGAATTAAAACAAAAAAAATTAAACAGTAACCATAACAAAGTTTAACCTTTCAGATTTTTTTTTTCTTTGGTACGTAGTAGTACAGTAGTACTATACTACTAAGTACTAAATTGCTAAACTTTTCTTTTTGCTACTGCTACAGGGTGATGCTCATACCACCCGCTCTTGCAGGCCGGCACGGCATGTAAAAAAAAAATAATAATAATAAAAATAAAATAATAAAATAATAATATTAATAATAATATTAATATTAATAAAATTTATTTTCACAGTACCAAAGTTCTGGATTTCCGTTGTGACATTGGTGATGTCTCAGATCCCCGCAGACGGCGTTCTTGTGGAAGGTCATTCTGTCCTCATTAACGAATCCAGCATGACGGGGGAGAGCAAGCATGTAAGTAAGTTCACCGCAAAATTAATTAGATTTGATCAATGATCAATCATATTCAAGAATATATTTTTTCTTCAATTTTCTTTTTTTTTTACATATAAAGTGATAAATTTTCAAATCTTTGAATTTGAATTAATAATTGAATAATTTAAGTTTTAAATTACATAAATAAAGCCATATTATTTAATCTCTATTAGAAAAAACACCTGGAATACACTACACGACTCGTATACAGGCTCAGGAAGCCCTGACCAAGTATTTCATCAACGGTAATGGAAATACCTAGAAAGAAATAGATAGACCTCGCCGATCTAGTCCCACTACCATGGACTAGAATAGCAGCTTTGCGCTCCCCCAACCCCCCAAAAAATAAAACAAAATAAAATAAAATAAAATAAATTCAAAAGCCTACAATGGCTTCTCTGTTACCTAACAGTCCCAGTAAATCACTCGCTGAACTACAGATGAAACAGAGAGAACCGTGTCCTTCGGGACATCCGTTAAAATTGGAACGATACCGAGAAGATTAGCATGGCCCCTGCGCAAGGATGACACGCATAAATCGAGAAATGGTCCAAATTAAAAAAAAAAAAAAAAAGAAACAGAGAGAACCTAAAATACCCCATAAATGAGTGGTGTGCCTCTTGACCATCAGGAAAGACAGATACCCTAGTATACCCTGTTGCACTGCTTCCTGCAATGCCCCATTATGATAAGACAACCTATCTATCTGGGAGTCAGGTCAGCGTCGGGCAGGAACCCCCCACTCCTCTGCAACAGGCGGCCGGAGCATCAATCAATACTTTAGAGTAACTAGGAGTCTAGGACTTTTTGACAAGACGGAGTCCGACTCATCTCGTCATTCGCATGGACAACAGTGGAAACGCTGGAAAGCAACCTGTTCAAAGGGAGGGAAAAAATAAGCAGCACTACGATGGCTAATTACTAGGTTAATATCTGGAAGAAGAGGTGCGAAGAGACAAATTGAATGCCATTGGACAAGTCTTAGAGAAGGATGCGACTCCAAGGGGCGAGCCAGCGGTCACACTACTACAGCAACACGTATTCGAGACACAATACTGGGCCAGCCTGGGTTATGTGAAGAAATGTAAGGAAGAAAAGAAGATGACAGTGGCAGGGAAGAAATGGCGGTGGGTGCTGCTACAGCGGTCCGGGAAGAATAGCAATGCAGATTCGAAGACAATGGACAGGTCTTCGAGAAGGCATGCAACGCCCAAGAGGAATTCCAGTGATCACTACTACAGCGGAAGAATACCAATTATGCAGATTGAATTTCGAGGAACGCCACCGTGCCGGTGTTTGTAGGCTTGTAGGCTTGCCTTCATGGGACCTTGCCAGCCTGTTCCTCTTCCTCTCACTGACAGATGCTTGACCGTCAGATTCTTCGTTATCCGCTGACTCAGAGATTGCGTCATCTTAAAAAGATCCTGTACCAGAATCAGTCATCTCACCACAGCAGGTTTAAGAACTAATCCTTCTCGCCAACCCACCCATCTCGTTCCACAGTCAATAAACACCACGGGCCCAGCGACGTAACCCACGCACAAAGTACGAACACACAGAAACCCAGCCCCCACCCACTCCACAAGCACCAAGAGGGTGTAGGGTTTCAGCAGAAAACTGCAAGGGACAGTCTGTCTGAAGTATTACCATTGGAAGTTAGCATGGAGCTCCCCACAGTGTTTAGGGCTTAAGCAAAACACGGCATTTGACAGGGGACGCATTCGATTAAGAAAAAAAAAAAAAAAAAAAAAAAAAAAAAAAAAAAAAAAAAANAAAAAAAAAAAAAAAAAAAAAAAAAAAAAAAAAAAAAAAAACCCGACTGCCAGGGGTTAGGGCTTTAGCAGGAATCACAGCAGCAACCAAGATTGACAGGGTTAAATTTAATTTAGGGTTTTAGCAAAGACCACCGCAACTTGAAGGGGCCAAACCAGCAGAATCTAGAAAGTGTCACTGAGGAAAACCCGACTGGACTGGAAAGTAGCTGAGAGGAACAGCCTAGAGGGGGGGCCCAAGCAGGCAAGCTCCAAGCACCAAAGCAAGGGGGAACTTCAAATTCAGTCTCGCAACCGAAGCCTTTCGCAGCTTGCTCACGTGTTAGACTGAGGCAAGTGGGCAAGTGGGCAAGTGGGCAAGTGGTGGACCAACTGCAGTACGTTCGCAGTACGATGGCGGTACTAGGTTAGCAGTGGGTCCCCAGGCAGTCAACAGTGCGGTCCAGTCAGTCCCAGTCCAGTCCAGCAAGTACCATGGGGGACTGTGTGTACCATAGGCCGATGGAAAGGGGCAGACCAACGAGTTACAGAAGTATAAATCAAGAGGCAGCGCACAGCTATTCATTCATTCCTGTGGAAGCCATGCGGAAGCGCTGCCACGGTGACTTGTGCGAGGTGGTCTGCAGAGGAGCCTGAAGTCGAAGTGGGCTGGAGGAGTTAGCGCAGCCATAGCTGCTCGTAGGGTAGTGTTAGTGGCGGCCATAGCTGCCATAGCTGTTAGTGTAGTGTGTATACAGTGTGTGTGCGTGGGGTATCCAGGGTGATCCGGAGTTGAAGTGCGAAGCGAACAGTGGTGTTGTACACAGAGACAAGAGTTGCGATGTGTGGGTGCTGATGCACCATAGCCTGTTGAAGCGAACTCATATCTGAACTGTGTCTTCATTTCCATATCTTCGAGCTTTGAGTTGGGCGCTATGCGCCAGAGTGATTCACCATCTGTTTGTATGCATGTGAAGTGACGAAGTATGCGAGTCTGATTGCAACGTGGAGAAAAGACAAAAAAACTCTTGGGAAAATAAATAAATAAATAAATAAAAATTGCGAAGAGCATCATGATGGAGATGCCACCACTCCCAGCCTGTTTGTGAAAACGAACGCATTACACAGAGGCGGTGAAGATCTTCAACAGGTGCTGAAAACCTGTCAATCATCTGTTGCGGGGGAAAAGGAGGAGTCCGACCATTTCGACAATTATTGTATAGCATTGCCAAGACCACAGTAGATACGGACTGGTGCCCGTTGAGTCGGAGGAGGAGGATTGCAGCAGCACACACAGTGACAGGCAGTGGTGCATCTCGTGCATACACACACACACAAAAAAAAAAGAAGAAAAAAAAAGAAAAAAAAAAAAAGAAAAGAAAAAGAAGCATGTAATTGCAATGCTTGCATACATCGCATATACTGTGACACACAGGATTGGATTTCTTTGTGGGGTGATGACGGATGGATGATGCTCTTTTCGCCATTCCTAATCACTCGACCAAATGTTTTTAAAAAAAAGAAGAAGAAAAAAGAAACAGAGTCGCACATACGCAGGAGTGCCAGAAGTTCCCAGAAGGAGAAGGAACCGAGAGCATCCAGAATTTTAAGGCCATCAACAAAAAGTTCAAGTCACAAGATTTCTTCCAATAGATATCAGTTACACGCACCAACTTCCGAGTCGAATATGCAAACCTGACATCGTTATCTCTTATCCCTCAGACAACACCTGTTTCCCATAGGTCCTCCCAGTACCACTCTCTGGGATCTAATACCAAGTCAGAAGAGGGGTCAGTCAGTCAAGAAGGGCCAGGGCCTCCCCACCGCAGACACAGAGAGAGAGAGAGAGAGAGAGAGAGAGAGAGAGAGAGAGAGAGAGAGAGAGAGAGAGAGAGAGAGAGAGAGAGAGAGAGAGAGA